CAGTACTTTGAAGTGTTCTCTTAAGGCTCTTTTTTGTCTGTTTCACTTAACGTCTATGCCTTTCAAAGGCAGCCTTAACTGTTGTCTCCATTAAGATATTAGGGACTTTTCGAAGTTTGCATACTTAGCTCCGCCCACTTCAAAGTGCGCATGCGTAACTACACTGACAATTTTTCTTACGTTCTGTTCAGGACGTTAGTTTGATTGGTTTAGCGTACTCATGAAAGCGTTAGTTGTCTGAGTGGGCGGAGCTAAAATGACGTAAGGATTTTAGTAAAATAGAAATGCTGGTGAATCTGACCGATCAGCGAACAGCACTAAATTGTGGGTTTATTATATATATTACATCTTGAATCTTACATGTGACTTTTTGTGAGTAGGAGTATTGGAAAAATGTTTTATGTTTACATTCACAGAGTGCAAATTCACAGAACTCTGCTAAAAAGGAATACAGTAGATAAACCTTAGATGGATTCTCTATACAAAGACTGCATATAAACTGAGCCTATGCCCTGGAGACATAGGCCGCCTATGCCTAGAGGTCTGTAACAGTGTAGGCAAGGCCTTCCCAAATAAATATAGGAATAGGCTTTGGCCCGCCAAGACCCACTTTTTTCAATATAGTATAAAGAAAGACAAATAAAAACAAAATTTGAAGAAGTTCTCTGTTGGGCTACAATGCAAACTTATTACAGTAGTAGTCTACCCAAATCGAGTAACTGTGTTTTTCAAAATAATGAAAAAACATAAATTGTTCCAAAAAAATAATTGAAAATTAATATAAATTGTGTTTAATTATATCATATTTTAATTATTATTTTTTGTTTTGTTTAGTGTAATTGCTAATCCCATCCAGATGGCTTTGCAGACTCAAGTAAGAAAAAGGTATATGTATATTATAGTATTTCATAAATTCAAGAATGGATACATTTTTTCATTTTCTTTTTTTTAAGTCCCTATCGTTCAACCTCTTTTATATTATCCTATTTTTTAAGGGTAGTCTGGAATGATAGTAAAGACATTTCTTTACTTAAGGAAATGATTGTAACAAATCCTTTCAGCTACAAGGAAAGAACCAGGGAAAGGGGGCAAATAGTACTTCATAAACAATCAATCATGATTAATCATTAAAAAAAATGTAGATGTGACTATGACAATATTTATTGATCTTATTTGTACTGCAGGACAAAGAGTAAAGATGTGCAAGACAAGAAAAGAAGGAAGTCGAATGAGACTATGCTCATGATAAAAAAAAATGGAGAGAGAATTAAAGTGGAGAAATGATTGAAAGAGAAGCAAATGGAGCAAGAAGCAGAATTTAGAAAGCAAGAGGCTGCTGAAAGAACCAAACAAATAGATTTGATGCAAGAGAAAATGCTACAGCAAACTCAGCAGATGAACAATGTTATGATAATAATGTTGGAAGTATTGAAAAATAAGTAATTAAATAATTATAAATATGTAATTAAAAGGTAATTTTAATAATTTAGCAGCCCCATGTTTTTTTTATTCTGCTCTCTTGTTCCATCTGCTTTTTTTTTGTTTAATGTTAAGCTTGCAAAATCTAGTTTACCTAACTCAAGTAACTTCTAAGTTGATCTTATTTTATATGTCAAAATTGTTGTGTATTCCATTAATTAATGATCTGCAAGTCAAATTTTATCTAAATCTTAGGCAAGTTCACTATATCATATATTGTATTAATATAAACGAATAAACAAATTATAGTCCATCAAAATAGTTTCATTTAATTAGCAGTCCTACTATTATGCAATGATTATTTTTAAATTGTATATTATATGTATACACTTAACTAAAACAATTTCCACAGATATACAGTATAGTTTTATGAACATTTTGTTATAATTTGTTACAAAGACGGGTAGAGGAGGGAAGTGACAAACAACTACAAACAGCAAACTGTATCATTTGAACACTAGCACTCCAGAACACTCAAGTGCAAAGAGGAATACATCACTACTTCTACTACTACAATACTTGAAGAAAAGTTGTTATACAGCATTGATGGAGGTCACATAATTATTTATTTATTTAGCACTGAAGCAGTTACCAATGTGTTGCTGAATTGAAGAAACTTTTATTTGAGGGAAGGACTCTAATAGGATACATTATTGCAAAGGCATAATCTTATTTGTCATGAGGCCCTAGGCTACTTTCACAAACAATTAGAATAGATATACATGTGATAGAACAGAGTAGGCCCAGGCCCTACTACTAAGGTGAAGTGAAATTGTTTGTACTTTGGCTTCTTTAAATTTAATTCACAAATAATATACATTTGACATAAATAAATAATAGGTAGGTTAGGCCCTAGGCCTAGAAAGAGAGGGATGTCCTTATCCTTATAATAAGGTGAATATACTATTAGGGAAAAATGTTGCTTAAATATAAATATTTAGAAACAGTAACATTATGATGCCCTAATTTTTTAACAACCACTCAAAAATGGTGGTAACTGAAAATACTCCTCTAACGTTTGTCGGTCTACCCCAAAGACAGATGTTGTGACCGAGCCATAAAGAATTGTGTGTGCATTTGTGAGGAGGGCACACACAAGGTAGATTTTGCCTACGGCACTCAGATTCATTTTTAGATTTTTTTTTTAAATCTAAAAACTTGAAATAATTTACCACCTCATTGAATATCCACTCTACGCAAACTCTAACAGAACTCATGTTAGCATTGTATTGTTCCTGAAGTTCTGTAAGATGATTTCCTTTAAATGGGCCTTGAAGTTGACGTCGTAACGGGTATGCCGGATCACCATATAAGCATAGAGTATTGCCAGTAGGACCACCTGAATATTGCTGGAGTTGTTGGAGAAGCCCAGAATCTGCAAGCATACCACTACCATGCCGTTTTCCCAAGAAAGGGCCAGTCATATGAGCAATACGTCCATTTGGTGTGGCAACCGACGGGAACTTAATGGCATGAACTCTTTTATGTCCATTGTACATCAGTCCTTGTCGTTCTCCTGGACGGCAAATGGGTCTCTGTCCCATCGATGAATCCCCAGCAGTTGTCTAGTGGAGCACCTTTTGCATGTACTGCATCAGCAAAGTTTTGCAAATGTTGTGGTGCCTGCCAAGGTTGATCCAGAGACGTTAATAAGTGATGAAAGTTGTTGTAGATTAATTCCAACACCTCATATGTTGCCATACACAACCCTGGGACAGAACGGCCAACGATAGGTCGAATTAAGTCTGCATAGAGACACGGATATGCACCTCTTCTTAGCAGTGTACATAGTGCTTCTATTCCATTAAATATAGCCCCGTTACGGCAGCGTATTTCACCAGGAATGTTGGAAAACTTCATTCAGTTTAAGAATGTCATTCTTCTTGAATCTTAAATGAATTAAATCAAATTCGAAACCATGCATAATGTTGCCATATAGAAAGTGAATTTCACTATGAAAAAATGCTTTTTTGTAATCTAATTGTGTGTGGGTTAATATTTTTATTGTCATTTAATTGTCAATGTTTTGATATTTAAAATTTTAAAAGACAATTTCTACGTTTGTGCATTTAGTCAACTGATTTATATAAAAAAAAAATATTAGTTAATCACCCTCGCGCATATCTTCTAAGGTACTGAAAAAATAAAAATAATTTTGGGGAAAAAAACTAACAATATATTTTATTTTAATTTATTTTTAAAATTTTTAAAATTTAATTGAACGGTTATGCCTAGACATAGTAGGCCTAGATATCGTTCTTATTTTATATTAATATATTTTACCAAGGGTGAAATTTGGCAGTTTTTTTTTATTCTATCAATCATGTTTTACCAAATTTACCATCCAGACTAGCATGCATTAGAACAGATAGGGTGATAAACAAACTAATACTAATAAAGATATTATTTTTAGAATAGAGTCTTGGTTGTGTGTGAAAGATAATACATTCGATAAACATACATAAATAGGCCTAGGCCTAGCCTAGCTGTCCTACCGTACTAGGGCAGGCCATGCCCACAGTGGACTTAGGCCTACGCTAGGGCCTAGGCATAAGATCGACGATCGGTCATGGAGAGGGGAAGATTTACCTAAAGTAGGTTTCACATTCATCGCCTTCCAAATTTTCCAAATTCAACCGTTTGTATCGCCAATAAGGTAATGTCAGATTTTTTGACCTATTTAAATCGTATAGAAGAAGTAATTCTTCTTCGTCGATAATATCAAGCGCATATAAAAATTCATTTTGTTGATTTCCTTCCATGTTTATGTTTTGATATTACGTCATCCGCATACGTTCACCAGCCAATCGAAAAATGATTTACCATTCTAGTCGACCGATCTCAACGACTTAAACATTCTAATTTGCATACGGTCTCTTAGCGTTTCCGTCGTGATTTCGAAAAGTCCCTAATTCTAATTGAAATCGGAACCCAAGTTCTAAAATGGTTGTGAATTGGAGGGGGAACTTCCTCTTTCATGTCGTAGCACAAAACGCATCAAAACCATACCTGAAAACCATCTTGGAATTATCAACTAGTTTATCAGTCATTCGAGAGGCAAATTAAAATGATAGATTAAAAGTGCACTTTGTGTGTTTGGGAGCAAATAGAGGCCTATTTAACCACTGATTTAGCTTTTTACCCTGTATGCAAAATTAATATATAAGGAGGACGTTATGATGAGAGTAAATTAAATTTCTTCATGATATCATCCTAAAATTAAAATCGATAGTACTACAACTAATGCTTCTTGATAGATCTTGAAGAACTTTTATAAAATTTCCCCCTGTGAGTAATACCTTTATTCATGCATGTTTACTTCCCTGTAAAATTTTGAAGCCTTAACACAATACTTACTGCTGCATTTGTTTACGCCCCGATGCTTTTATAAACATGTTAGGCGTATAAGGTTAAAGGTTTCAGGAAGTAAAATATGATTTTTAAGATAGATTTCTAAAAATTGGATAGCTTTGCGTAAGGTAGGATTTTAGTTACAAGTCAGATAGATTAACGTTTCAGCAATGGGCTTCAATGCTGCATTATTTGTGAGGATACTCCTCTTTCAATTCACTGTGTTGGTCACAGGTAGGTAGGACTAACAACTGGTATTAGGGATTGTTCAACAGTGTATAGTAGGCTAGGACTAAATCAGAACTAAATAGAAATGTAGTTCAGTTTATTGTAAACATCTCGAGTCTGAGATTTTCCGCAAAATTCAATATCGAACCTAAATTGATATTTAAAGATCTTCAAAATCACATTGGTTGTACTTGTAAATCAACAGATATGATATATCAACCTGGTTCTTAATAGGCGGCCTGTGAGCCAAAATTGGCCCCGCGAAGCAAAATATTTTGCCCTCGAGAAAAAATATAATTATGAAAAAAATGTATTTAAAGAAACTAAAAGTATCCAGATTTGAAATCGTCACTGAGGACGAGTTAGGCGATATGCTTGTCAGGCAAAAGAAATCTATAGGCGCTTAAAATTATGAATTATGGGAAACTACCGTAGCCAGGATTTTCAAACAGTGCAAAGCAATATCAAACCTGCCGCGCTCTGTTTGGGGTTCTGAAAAAACTGAAGAAAGAAAGAGGTGGGGGGAGGAGTCAGAAAAACTTAATTTTTTTTAAAAACCATGATGACATCATCAAAGTGAAAAATGAATGACACATTGTAAAAGCAAACTGTCTCAGCTATAACATACACAAAGTTTGGAGACGATTGATCAACAATAAGTGAGATACGTTCAAGTGAGTATAAAAATTATGACGTTTAAATTTTTAAAAAAAATCAGTTTTTAAAAATTGAGATGGCAATATGATGACGTCAAAATGTCCGATCAGCCATAATGATCTATAAAGTCATATCTACAACTCATGTGCATTCAGAATATGTAATAAAAATTGGAGGTCACCTTTCATCCTAAGGAGCTATTACTGATTAAATATAGGCATGATTTTAAGCATATTTTAATTTTGACGCACGTGTATGCGCACGTTATGACGCGCGCACATACAAATTAAAGTACATGATATTCAACCTTGACCTAAAACTTATGCCCACTGAATATGATTCAGAAATTACGACTGGTTAGGATGACATATGGTCATCAAAATTTTGAGGAACGAAAGATGAGGAGAGTCATAAAACACATTTATTTTGACCATGATGACGTCAACAAAATGTAAAAGAAATCATATATGAAAAAAATCTGTCTCAGATATAACGTACTCAAAGTTGGGAGACGATTGATCAAGGATAAGCGAGATAAGCTCAAATGCGTATTTTCAAAAATGACGTTATAGATAAAATTTAGTTTTATTGAATTTAGATGGCAATATGATTACGTCACAATGTCCAATCATCAACATGTTTACAACTCATGTGCTTTCAGAAAATATAATAAAAATTGAGGGTCACCTTCATCCTAAGGAGCTATAACAGATTAAAAATAGGCCTGATTTTAGCATATTTTCACTGTATATCGGCACAATCGCGTGCAAAGATTCTTATGTTTGGTGCACGCGTACGGCATTGCTATTGGCCATAAGATAACCGTAAAGAATGGAAATTTGTGAAAACAATGTCAGGAACCAAAATATGTAAAAAAAAAAACAAAAAAAACAAAACGTAATTTTTAGCTTCCGTACGTGCTGCGCACGTCAAAATGTCAAAAAATTTTGAAATGTTAAAAATGACCTGATAGTGCTCGAATTTAGTCAAAAAGTGATTCTGAGCATCTTGAAATTTTGACGCACGCGTGCGCGTGTTACGCAAATTTTTCGGTACGTGATATTCAACCTTGACTTAAAGTTTATGACTACTGAATATGATTGAGAAATGACAATTGGTTAGGACAATTGGATATGATCGATAATGTAAAAACGCAAAAATGCGTGTACATGACGTCACGCATGACTGAGCACATTCAAAACCTTATTGTGGCTATTCCAGGCCAAGCCAAATGTTCGTTGAAGCTGCCATGTGCGTAGCTCGCGCCAATTTTAGGATATCGTGCGCACAAAATATGGTTAGAAAGAAAGAAGAATAAGAAGATGATATCTGACAATAACCAATAAACATTTTGATTAATATTTTTTTCAATAAAGTGAAGGCCAAAACACAACACTGGACTAATGTGAAGTAGAGGTGAACCCCACCCAGATCTAGAATTAAATCCGTTACCAACCAATCGACAAACGCCAAAACATTGGTAGTCTTAGATCAGTTAAATATGACCTAGCAGATTAAAAATAAAAACTTGAACATAGACTTGTTTTTATTATGAGTAGACCCAAGATTTTACTGGCGAAGAGTTTTTAGGCTATAAATCCCTGGTATTTAATGAATATATGATGTGTGAAATTGCACAAACATCGATTGTGCGCCGAACTAATAAGTTGAACACACTTAGTATGACTGAAAAAAAAATGCTGTGTTTTTGTTACGATTATGCATGTAACTTCACGTTTGGTTGAGAGCTGTTGTATGGACGCCTGCAGGTAAAAATAATATTTAGTTAGGTGTAAACGACGAGAAGTAAACATAAGAATCAAAGTCAATATGATAGAGAAAAACTAATTTGTGGAAAAATTACCACATTCAAGAAACGCTACTTCATACACAGTTACACTTGCACAAGGAAAGGAAGTCATGACAATTTCTATTACCAGTCTCCGAAAACATTAAACGTCCGCCGACCCTGTAAAATATTTTGGCGACTCGACTGAAACAAGAACATAACAACACAAAAACGGATGCAAATTTAAATAGAATATCCACTAATTATGGGTTTCAGAAATCCATTAAATTCGGTCTCAAAATGCTACTTGTCGGAGCTTCTCGGCCTCTGGACCCAGCCGGAGCCCTAAACCGCCTCAGTCTGCATACAAGCCCGTAAACAACATAATAGATGAAAATATACTTTACCACTTATCATGCTACTTAAAACCGTCAGTTCTCAACAAACTCTAATCTTGCGAGAATTTAAATTAAGTAGTTGCCAGTTGCGGTGGCAGATTCCCGTTAGAGTGATAGATCTCAACCTGTCCATTAGGGAAGAATAATAATATGTAACCTTTAATGAATATAAGGCTGTAAGATCGATTACGGGTCTTAAGCACTCACAGTCACTAATACCCCTTTTACACTGCCAAAGGCAGAATCGACCCGGGTTACTTCCAGGGTGATCCCGGGAGCATTTCCTGTTGTTTGTTACAATAACAAATATAATGAAAGACACTAAAACCAGATTGTAATAACTCAATGGCCGTTTGCTTGACAACCGATTTATTCTCAACTCAACGCTAAACAGCGCCACACGGTGGCTGAATGTGACAACAAGGAATAAGTTATGCACGTCATGCAACATTTCCAATTTACATCCAACGAAAAAGTCCGGGTTGAACCCGAGTTGCTCCCATTTACACTGGCAACGAACTCTTGTTCAAATACAACCCTCAGTTTTGTTGCGATGGTGATCATCACTTCGCTCGAGTTCCTTGTCGTGACGAAGCTACAATCAATTGTCAATATTGAAGCAATGTAACTGCAGATTGTTTTTAAATTATGATAATTAAATCAGCAGTTTTGGTATCATGTCTGTACCCGAGCGTAGAGGGTTTAATTTAACAAGTGTCTAGGCCTAGCCCGTTGTTAGGAAAGTTTAGGCCTACCTGACCACTGCGGTAGGCGCCAGGTAAGGCCTAATTCCGGAATCAAATTCGGTGCTGTTTACACTGGCGACACCGGAATACACCCGGGTTGTCGTACGCTGGATGTGTCCGCACGTCCATCCCGGAAGGTTTGGCAACCTAAGTAGGACTTTTTGACGTTTACACTAACCACAACTCGGGAGATTTTAACCCGGGTATTGTAAAATCCCGGATTCCGTCCGGAATTTTGCTTGCAGTGTAAAAGGGGTATTACAGTCACTAAATTATTAGAGATTCCGTAGACTTTGCCACCTGGACCCCCTTCACAGGTTCTGGGACATCGCTCCTCCCCTGATGTTGGCAATTTTTTTGTGATGGCTTTACACAAGCAAGAAATAAAAGATCATCAATAAGCAAGAAATTGTGTAAAATTAAGTGTCCTAATTATTTTAGGAAAATATCATATACCAATGTTTGCGAACACTGTAATGAATTTAGTGTCCTAATATTGTTCTGTAGTACAATTAAAAATAAAAGAGAATCAGAAATTGCCAAAAAAAAAAAAAAACCCTCAAAGATCTGTGCGGCCAACATGTGAATTTGGCCACAGTATCTGGGAAGTTTACCTTATGTTCATAAACAAGTTGCTAGTAACTCATAGATTTTCTTTGTCCGTGACATCAAATCTAAATATAATTTGACCCTTCAAATAAATAAATTAGGCCTAAGAACTAGTGATATATCCCATACAAAACCAGTGCATGTCATATGAAATAATATAATCTTAGTTATACCCATTTGTGAATAAATTTCTTCCCAGTAGCTTGTCTATAGCTGTATACGTAACACCTTTCATTTTATTAAAACCCAAATACTTGAAAAATAATTAGGGAAACCAATTAAAGTTGGGGGTACCCGAGGGCAGTGGCAAAAACAATGGATTCTTGCTGTTGGGGTGACGGAGAAAAGTCTGTAGAATCGATACCACTCTCTAACCATTATTAATCCTGGTAATAAGCCTGTATACAAATGCCTCCATTCCATGTGGATGTAGTTGCATTTCGGCTATTTGTTTGAATTTATGTTTGTGACATCTCCACACATCTCAATATGGTTTAACAGTGTCTATCAGGATTCTTCAAGTCAACGACCAACTGTGTTGTTTGGTACATAATACACATACCTAAATAAGTGGGACCTTCTATTCATCAAAACCCAACTGAATTACATAGTCCCCTTGACTATTATATGTGTATTTTGAAATATACAGTATATCAGAATGTATGAAGGTATTTTAAGTCAAGAAAGAAAAACATTGTACAATGCTTCATATAGAGTGAACAGATTGCTTAATGCAAAATAAAAATGTGGGATGGGTGAGATGTGATAGACACAGATAAATGTTGATAAAACCTGAATCGGTACCAT